GAATGGGAAAACTATCGAAGTTCTTATCAAATCAAGTATGTGCAGAGTTTTGCAATTTTTATCATGCTTCTCCTCATAAACATACCCTAGATAGGAGTCGCAGTTATGCTTCAATGGTTTTTGTGATGTGAAGGCTGTGAGCATGAGTACGGTGAGGGAGGGACTGGATTTATAGGGGTCGAGGGTAAGGTGATATAAATGCTGGAGAACAAACCAAGGTAGCTGATTTTCTAGCAGCAAGAGGTCATGGCATAGATATTGGAACATGCAATCCATTCTGAAGATGGGGTCATCAACATCTTCCTGATGAGATTGGTACTTCCGAAACAGTTCAATCAGAAAGCAACCATCAAGTATCATCATTTCTACCATGTCGTTCTGGCTTAGATGATCAAGTGGTTCAGCATAGAATTCACGGGCGGATTGCTCTAGCTCAACAATGTGATCGATTAAGTGTTTCAAACTCAGATTCCTGCGTGACAAAAGATTATTTAAATACCATTGTTTCACATTTTCCATGTGTTGAAATTGTTTACCTCCCCTGTGAAACGGACCGATTGAAATGAAATCAGGTTCATATGCGTCTGGTTTATGTCTCTTGAGCACCGGGGGAACTCTGAAGATGCAGCATTTGGCAGCCCAGGAGGGTGAACGAGGGCAAAGCTTTTTACTCATTGTTTTTTCCAACGCCTCGAGCCCAATTCCTTCGTCTACTATACGAACTGAAGTATGGTCTCTGGTACTACCTTGTATACCATTCTCCATCATCATTTATTGTCTCCAAAGGCTGAAATATAATTTATCACAATTAAAAAACAAGGAAAAGAAAAAGAAAAAGAAAGATTAAATGACAACAGGAAGAGGGAACCGATTGTACCTTGAGGGAGTTGCTTCAGTGACCCACCGGGTTAATTAACTCGAAACTGAAAAATTGGTGTGCAGAAAATTGTTCATGTACTTCATCTTTTTATAGACTCAAAAATAGGTCAAGTTGATGTTTTTCTTTGTTTCTGGCAGCTGTCAATATAAATTTATATTCGATCATACTAGAACGAAATTACACACACCTATATATATATATATATATATATATATATATATATAGATGGATACAGCTTTCATCACATTGTCAATTGACAATATTCTTATATTTTACTGTGCAATTCTCCTTTTTGTTGTTGTTGTTGTTGTTGTTGGTTATACTGAAAGGAATATGAACTCTTCCTTAGTCTAATTCTAATCTATTTTCAACCTTAACTGATCACTTGGAATAGCTCCAACAACTGCACTTGCATATTGTCATTTTCATCCAACATGAAGAAATTCAAGATTGTATACATCCAGCATGTTCTGTGAATCTCAAATTTTAGCAAGGGAAAAATGGGACATAGTTTTGATTTTCTCGAAGATTTGAAACATATATGATCGTGTTTATTACTATACTAAATGACGTTGGCAGTAACGGAATTGATGACGTCCGTTTTGTTTACTTCTTGTGGATATGATGAGTTGTAATACTATAAATTTTTAGAGAGTCTTTTGACGTACGTTACTATTATTGTAATTGTATATTAACGTTCACGATGGGATCTGCACTGCACACATACAACCTATTTAGTTAAAGTTGACGCCAACAATTCAGTACTCTTTTAATTTCTTTCCATCTGTACGCTAATCTAACATTGAACCGGAGAACCTTTGTTAATTAAAGACTTAAAACGCGACTTTCGATCAACTATTATTCCTCGTGATCGGCGATTGTTGAAAGATTAATTTTTATAGATTAGCCAATTGTTAACAGTTTAGAGAAAAAGTTGTGAGTTTTGTACCTTCGATCAACAATTTGTACGATGTCATATCTTATGTAACATCCCACCTCGACTAATGGAGAGGGAGTGATGTGCTTTATATGTACATGTCCACCTCCATTTAGCACGAGGCTTTTTGGGAGCTTATTGACTTCAGAGATCATGGAAACTCCTTAGTTAAGTTAGTTTGTGCTAAAGCAATCCTATGATGAGTGACCCACTGGTTGTGAGTTCTTAGAAACAAAACCATTAGAGCAGAGAGAGGGGCCCAAAGCGGACAATATTCAAATGATGACTAGTCAACTTCTCAAAAATACCTTTCCTGAAGTGACGGCTACCAAAGAGAATGAAGAGACCGTTTACCCAAAATTCATAAGTTAGAAACATATATTTGGTAGCATAAGAATATCAAATAATAAGATTAAATTCTTTAAGACCCAGCTAGAAACACAATGAGCTGGTAGAGGTCTGAGTCTGCATCTTAATTATTTGTTTGCAGTTTTCTTATTTTGTAATAATTGCATCTCCTTTTGAGTTGGGTATTTGATTGTTTTCTAGTATCTACATATATTTTGTACTTATGAGAGTTTAAAAGTTGTAGTTGTATTGGTAAATTTGGGCCCTGCGATTCATGTCTGGTTTGTTCAGGCATGCAGCTTTTGCGCCGAAATTTCTCTGGCCTTTTGTGGCCTATATCTTGATTAACACTGTGTGGTTTTTTATGCTTTCATATTTGTATTGCCCATTTATAGGTATTTGTCATTGTGGTTGATGGTCTTTAGGCCTAATTTATTAATACAATTATCACTTTTCTCTATAAAAATTAATAATAATAATAATAAAAAGTTTGACATCATACAAAACTAGCCTCTCTGCACTCTTCTGCATAAGAGGCTTTTTTTTTTCTTTTTTCTTTTTATAAAAAAAATTTAATTTATTTTAGAGTTAAAAAGGATAGTGGGTAGTTGTGTTCCATAAAAATATGATCTATTATCTAATTTTTCTTTTAATCTTAATTTTTTTAATATTAAAAATATGAATTTACCATATTATCCTCATTTAATTAATAATTTCAATTCTTATTTGCATTAACCAAAGATATTTTCTAGTATTTTGAAAATTTTACCATTCTCTACCTTTTGCTTTATATATATAGATTATAAACTGATAACTAGTGGGAAGTCTGACTAATCTAAACTAATTAATCTTTAGCAAGTGCCAATGTGATCATAATCACATTTTACAATCAAATATTACCACAGGCATAGTTCACCAAAAGTTTCCCTTGAAGTCTTTAATTAAAAATTAAGGGTTCTCAAGGTAACAGAATGTGATGTTAGATTAATTATTGGGTTGTTGGCTTCAACTTTATGTACATTGTTGAGAGTGTTTGTTCTACATTGAAATGTTATTGGACCTAGCCTGGGTTTATAAGGAGTTGGGCTACTCCTCATTTTGCCAATTAATTTTGGGATGGAATCTCAACTTCCATCATATATGTGTGCAGATCCGATTGAGAATGTAGATGTGCAGATGCTGCACTGCACAGTCAAGAAGCCGTATGATATGAGCAAACTAAACGACAGCACTGCTTATATGTATTAATAACCTCTATCAATACACCACCGGCATCATTTGAAGTGTTATATTGATACTGTTTAAGTTCTCTATGATAAAAAAAAAAAAAAAATCTTTGAAAAAGTCGCCTGTAAAAACGTTCAAGTCTTAACAAAAGTTCTCAAATTTTGAAAATTACGCTGATGTAGGGCATACCGAAGTCGATGACGACTTTGTATATACAAGTATGAATATATTTTACCATCTTTTGATCGGATCTGCACAGAAAAAAAATGAATTGTATTAGTTTGAGAAAGCCACAATTTCTTTGGGCAAGTAGGCTAATGATATGTCATATACTTACTATTAAAAGCATAATTAACAAGACTTGGAAGGTATACGACTTTGGATAAGATTATGATTAGTTGGAATGCTTAATTGGAGAAAATAATCATAACATGGGGAACATGTTAAAATGCTTTTGGGTTCCCTTCTCAATGCTAAGACAGATTGGAACCCTTTAAGGAGAGAAGCTTCCCTAGTCCTGTTGGTTGGCCTTTCTAGTCTCAATCCTGTTGCAGTTCAATCTTGGATATTTAAGTTGTGTTCTTATCATCAAGGACTTCATTTAGAAATAATTACAAAACTATTCTTTCTGAATTTTTTTTAACACATTTTGATTAGTATTATTAGTTTTCTTACTCTACACACATATGTAACATTGTGTATACCTTCCTAAAAAGGGATGGTTCAGTTGGTAAGGTCCTTGTATGTTCCCCCACTAGTGTTCGAGTCTCGCTATCAGTAGTTTCATGTTAATAGATAATTTGTAAATCCAAAAAGTTCTTGAGTTTGCTCTAATCTTGGGTATGGATTCATGACTTTTGCTATTCTTGATAATTAAATATGCCCATTAATTTAAAACGCAACTCCAGAGTCCTCGAGCCAACCATGCACGTCACATGATCGCTTTTGTTCAAACAAATAGTGACGTAAGGCAGTAACAAAATCGATGACGTTGAACGACTTCTGTCACTTGTGCGCAAAGTCGTGGAGTTGAGTATATATATATAATACAAGTCGAAGTACATATTTGACGATCTTCGATTGGATATGCACAAAAAAGAATAAAATGTTTTATTTTGAAGCCACAATTTCTTTCGGTACATACAATAATGATATTCCATATATTTATTCATGCATGTTGATGAAAGACTTAAACACGACTTTGGATAAACTATGGTAACGGGGGATGCTTCTTTGGAGAAAATATTAAAGGGAGTTTCACTAAAACACCCAAAATGGAGGTTGAAATTATAAAAAAACCCAACACCCAAAACACTTTATAAACACACTCAAAACCCATCATTATACACACTCAAAACCCATTTATAAACACACCCAAAAAGTTGACTTTGGGGTTAATTTTGGGTGTGTTTCTATGTTTAAATAGTGCTTGGGTTTTTTTATAAATACATGTTTAGGATTGGGTTTATTTATAAATTTGTATAATAATTAGTGGGAAACACAAATTTAATTGGCACTTATATGTGTTTGTTATGGGCATAACGGGACATATAAAGCAAAAGACAGAGAATGATGTAACATTCCAAATACCAGAAAATGTAATTGGTTAATTCAAATATTAAGAATTGAAATTATTAATTAAATAAGGATAATATGATAAATTCATATTTTTTAATATTAAAAAAATTAAAATTAAAAACAAAATCAAATAATAAGTTCTACTTTTATGGAACATAACTACCATATTATTTTTTTCTTAATTCTAAAAATAAAATAAAAAAATAAAAAAGAAAACCACATGTGCCCAAGGGGCTAGTTGGCATAGTGTGGGACATGTTCACACACCTACTTGGTGTCTTTGGGGACGGTTTACACTCTAGCCTTGGCAATAGGTCAAGGGAATGAATTGCGCTCTATTGAGTGTATTCTATATTCAAGAATCGAAACACGATTTTTTTTCTTTTATTTATTTATTTTCTTTACATGGTTAAGCATTAGTATAATACAAATTTATAAATAAACCCAATCCTAAACATGTATTTATAAAAAAACCCAAACACTATTTAAACATAGAAACACACCCAAAATCAACCCCAAAGTCAATTTTTTGGGTATGTTTATAAATGAGTTTTGAGTGTGTGTAATGATGGGTTTTGAGTGTGTTTATATGTTTAAATAGTGCTTGGGTTTTTTTATAATTTCAACCCCCATTTTGGGTGTTTTAGTGAAACTCCCTTAGTATAAACTGTTTCCAAAGTCTAAAATTTCGTAGAATTCATTTTTTGAAACAAGAAAGCATTATAACAATTTTTTTTTTCTTCAAACAATTCCTCCATTTGGATGGAGGAAAACTAATTCGAGAACTGAAGAGGAAAAATTGATATTTGCATTATTTTTCAACTTAAGCATGAAACTTATTAAATGATGAGCAGAAAAATTAGTGGGAATTGGAGGTCAAGATTTTCGAGTTTAATTTCCGCCAAAAGAAGTGTCATGTCACAATTTCTATTGGGCAAAAATTTGTTTTTCCTGTAATTTCTGTCATTTTACGAAGTCAACATACATAAATAAAAACACTAAAATTATTAATTGCCAGAAATTTAAATGATGGAGATTTAAATTCCGTCATTTTAGAATTCTATGTGATTTTTCAATTCCTTCATCCAAACGGAGGGGGAAAAACATTTAATACACATTCATGCGCATAAAAAGAAGTTGGATCCAATGTGAAAGTGAAACATAGCATATGGCAAATTGGGAGTATAATAATGAGGTGGATCCTTCTTATACGGTACCGCCCTAGTTAGTGTCCAAGGTGAAGAAGCTTATAAGGCTATAAATAGGGCTGTAGGCAGGCATACCGAACTCACTGCAAAGACAAGCCATCCTAGTTATTCTGTGTTCTGACTTAAACCCCAAATTCTAGAGTTTCCATTCCAAGCAAGCCATCCCCACGGGCTCGGCCTCCATATCAATCTCTCAAATAGTCAGTACTACTACAAGTATTGAAAACATGGAGGCCTCTAAGAAGAATCTATTTGCCATGAGTGACGCAGAAATTTTGGAAGTCATTTATGCCACACATGAAGTTAGTCATGACCACGATTCCTTTGACGTTCATTCTCTTTTCTCCATCACTCAAAGCATCATTAAGTGTTCAAAGCAGATCGTCGATAGTATCGACCAGAAGGTATGTATGGTACTATTATATACTACACCGTTGAGCTGAGTTTTTTGAGTATTAAAACACTTGTAATTTATTGCTTGTGACTTGTTTCGCAGGTCCCCCAAGTATATGCTGAAAATATGGGTGGAATAACTATTGCACCCAGCTTCAGCACGCCCTTGTGCGTTTTAAAGTCCATAGTTCGAGAGGTAATTTCATTGCCTTCTAATTTATTTTCATCAGTAGGGACTCGAATTTGGGAAACATTATTCATTCTAACAATGAAAAGGATATGGAGAAAAAACAAATGTCACAAAACCAAACGCAAGAATGAATGAAATTGAGATACATGATTAATTAGTATATGTTTGTAGATATAATCTTGATTCTAGACAATATTAGTCAGATTCATGTTAGTGAAGACAGGTGTCCATTGACTGAGTTGTTGACTACAGCTGGCCTTTTAACTAATAGCACGCGGTTAAGATTCCAATATTGTTAGATGGTTAATAGTCTGTTTAGCGTTGTGTTAATAGCTTATAAAAGCTAAGTCTCTCTCTATATATTCTGAGAATTAGAGCAATCAATCTAGAGGTTTCCTATTCTTTCTTTGCTTACTTTCTTCTTCATTCTTGCAATGGTTATCATGGTTATCAGTTAGTACATATATAACTCATCATAGTAATTACACATGCAATTATTTCAGGTGCCATGTAAGGCTCCAGGGGAAAAGAATGCCCACGACGCCACGCTGAAAATACTTAGCAAGGTGTCAAAGTATTCATGGGAAGCGAAGGCTGTGCTGGCTCTGGCGGCTTTTTCTTTGGAATATGGAGAGTTCTGGCTGAGTGCCCAGCATCAACAATCTGACCAACTTGCCATGTCTGTGGCATTCCTTAAGGGTGTGCCAATCCTTCTCAAGCCCGAAAACCTCAAGAAACGCGGCAGAGCTATCACTGATCTCAACAATGTGATCATGTCCACATTGCAAGTGATTGATTGCATCTTTCAATTGGAGAAGTATTCCATCACTTATAATGATGTAAAGGAGTTGAGAGAAATCTTGGCAAATGCAAGGAAAGATATCTCGGTGAATGTCTATTGGTGTATCATTACAACCGTAGCTTGCGCCACTAACATCACCCTCCTTACTAGTGATGAGTAAGTTTCATCCACATCTTCTCCATGCTTATACATCATGTACGCTTAATTAATCAATTGTTTAGATTGACAATCAAACAATATAACATATACATCGCCCAAGTATCATTTACCAAGAACTGATTTGAACGTAGTATAACTGTTTTAATTCATTCATATCAGGGGGAACTCACACGACCTTGTCCAGTATGCTCAGAAGATCACAATCATCCTCAATAAACTTAAGCAACAGATGAAGATCTGCAAAGAGGAAATAGGTGGGTTTACTTGATGAGCATTCACAAGGAAATGCATATGTTGCTCTGGCAATACAATGCTGACATTCCTTTTTTGTATTATTTAATACAGAGAAGTTACAGACCTACATGAAGCTCAAACAGCTCTTCCAAATTCCTACTGAGATTATGGAGGTTATGAAGATCCTAATCTTTTTCAAACATAATGCGGAGACAACCATTTTCGATGGTTCCACTGAGAAACTGGTTTGCTCTCTCATCATAGCTCATTAATTTCTTTTGAATTTTGAATGAATAAAGATATATACAAATTTGTGTCATGCACATTATTTTATAATTGCGTGCATAATGTTAATTTCTAACAGGTTAACATCGACATCCTAAGGACGAAGAATGTGTTGTTGTTCATTTCGAGCCTAGAGATATCTGAGGATTATATTGCTCGTCTCAGACCCGTATATGATTTTACAAAGGATAATAATGAGTATAAGATTGTTTGGATTCCTATAGTAGAGAAGTGGACTAAAGATCTGCAACGCAAGTTTGAGGCCCTGCGGGCTAAGATGCCATGGTACACAGTAGGCCAGGCTGGTGCCCACATTGCAGGCATCAAGTGCATCAAGTACATCAAGGAGGATTGGAACTTTAATGGTAAGCCTATGCTGGTTGTGTTGAACACAAAGAGTCCGCTCCAACATTTCAACGCTCTGCGCATGATTTCGATATGGGGATGCCAAGCCTTTCCTTTCACACAGGAAAACGAAGAACAGCTCTTACTTTCTCTCCAAGATACATGGTTTTCCGCGTTAATGGATGGCATTAAGATATCCAAATGGGTGAGTTCTTGCTAACAACTTGATGGATGTTCATTTTATAATTTACGTTGTCCATGCTAATTGCACATACACGTAATGCATGCACACAAAAAAAATCAAATAGATATAAGAAATTTGTTGTGTTCTAAAGTCTATAGGCAAACACTGTGTATCAAATAAAAATCGAACGACAATAACGCAAATGACTAAATAACTTCTGATTTGGTCCCTTTTTTTTTTCGTGGATGATTTTAAAGGAAAACCTAAAAAAATTAGGATTCAATTGCAGGCTGACGATAATATGTTCTCATGAAAAATTAGGGTTTAAAGTGATCACTTTTCTTAAATGCAAACATCGCGCAGTTGGAAACTAACTGTATATATACATTTTATTTCCCACAGAACAAAGACGATTACATTTTCTTCTACGGAGGGGATTCAGTGTGGATGAATCAGTTCAAGGAGAAAGCAACTGCCCTTATAAATGATGAAATCAAAAAAGAACCAAAGATTTCTATTGAGTTATATCCTGTGGAGAAGAACGCAAATAATGACAGAGGGGATGACAGCTTTAGCACCTTCTGGTCCGCCATAGAAAGCATGTTCCATATCAAGGTTATCAATAAGCAGATTGAGGACGTGGTAAAACAAGTTCAGAAGCTGCTTTCCTACAAAGATGACAAGAGTGGATGGGCTGTGCTCATCCAAGGCCGTAGGCTTGTGGCCCTTGGTGGTTCGACAATGTATAAAGTTCTCGAGAAATACCACACGTGGAATCAGAACGTAACACTAACAGTAGAAAACTTTGGACAAGTTTTTAATCAACAGCATGAGACGGAGGTTGAAGAAACTGGTCACGTCTGCAGCTGCTTTAGCATCCCAGGTGCAACTGGAAGCACCCTAGAGGCAATGGTATGCTACGAGTGTGGCAATTCCATGGAGACATTCTTCAGGTATAAGCGCTGCCATGTCAAGAAGAAGGCGCGTTTGTGTTGGCGAGATATCCTAGCCCTATTAGGATATTTCCTTATTATTCTATTAGGATTTTATTTATTTCCTTTTGTATAGATATTATGTAATTAAGATTTTTCTTATTTCATAGTATAACTCTACTAGGGTTTGTAACCTTGTATTATAAATACTTCATTTTGGAGAATGAAATATATCTGAAAAATATTCTACCCATATTGTTTGACTTGGCATCAGGGCCGACTTTCTGGTGACCTGTGTTGGGTTTGTCGTATTTGCTTCGTGTTGTGTTTTTTTTCTGCTGTTATCATGGATGATGAATCCAAAGACATGGTGGGTGCTAATGGGTCTGCAACAAAGGAGGAACGTCCCTCGCGTGATTACTCAACCTGGGTTACTTCTGACAAATTGGATGGCTCCAATTATGCCTCTCGGTCTCGTGGTGCGTGTATTACAATTACTACTAGTCGTATGGCAAGTTGGATTAATGGGAAGAAGCCTGCTCCTTCTTCAGATTCCGCTGTCTATGCCGAATGGGAGGAAGATAATTGTTTGGTGCAGTCATGGCTTTCAATCCATGACTAAGCCAGTTCGTGCCTTGTTTGAACATGGTGAAACTGCTTTTGATATATGGGAGGCTGCCTAAAAGACCTATTCTGTGACTCAGAATAGTTCTCAATTGTTTCAACTCCGACGGCAGTCCATACATACATGTTAGAATGCTGATTCTATCAAAGTGTTCTATGAAAAACTCCATGCTATCTAGTAGGAGATTAATTGTCTGCTTCCATATGAGTTTAAGTGTGATGATGATGGGGCTCGTCGTCTGAAAGAAATTGAAGCCAATCGAGTTTATGATTTTCTTGGAGGACTTGATCCACTGTATGATGGTGTTCGTAGCCATATCCTTGCTCTTAGTCTTGTCCTGCCCCTTCTCGAAGCCTATGCCATGGTCATGGAGGAAGACACCCGTTAGTCCGCTATGCTTGGAGGAGGTTTAATGGCCCTCAAAGTTGACCTAACACGTCAACGACCGATCGCACAGCACGACACGACCGGTCGCTCCTCATCCAGAAAATTTTCTTCTCCTGTTGGGTCTCGTCCTTCTAGCTCTACCCCTAGCTCTCTTGACGGTCCTCCTAAGTGTCGTCATTGTAATGAGAATCATTACTCTGAGAAGTGTTTTAAGGAGCATGGTTATCCCGATTGATTTGCTGACAACAAAGCTAGTATGTACGGTCCCAAGGCCGCCTGCACTGTGACTCAAAATGAGGCTCGTCCTCCAGCCCGTCTGCAAATCTGTGTGCTTCCGATACCATTCCATGTATGGGTTCTAATACTTGGATAATTGACACTAGTGCTTATGATCATATGACTTATGATGATAATATGTTTGATGAGTTGTCTCATAACCCTCGTGACCTTTATATTACTAGTGCTAATGGTTTACCTTCCCCAATTACCAGTGAAGGCACCATCCACCTCACTCATTTACCTCTGTCCCATGCACTCTTGGTTCCAAATATTCGTTGCAATTTGTTATTTGTTGGGCGTTTACTTGATACACTTAATGCGTCCGCTACTTTCTATTCTACCCATTGTTTTTTTCAGGATCTCAAGACTTAAGAAAAGATTGGGCATGGTAAACGGATAAGGAGGTTGTATTACTTACAGTTACCAGCTACAGCAGTTTGTGGTTGTGTCTCTAATAAAGTCCAAAGTGCCAGTGTCGAAGACAAGCAACAACTTTGGTTGTGGCATCATCGCTTAAGACATTTGTCATTTGGTTATCTTAAACATTTGTTTCCTTCATTATTTAGTTCGTGTGATAAGACTAGCTTCAAATGTGAGACTTATGTAATGGCCAAGAGCCACCGTACTATTTTTCCCTTGAGTAATAATAAAGCTACATTGCCTTTTGAGTTAGTACATTCTGATGTATGGGGCCTGCCCATGTGACTTCTCATGGTTTCCGTTGGTTTGTCACGTTCATTGATGACTGCACTCGCTTAACATGAGTATATTTGATGAAGCATAAACATGATGTTGCCTTTATTCTTCCTGTTTTTTGTGCTATGATGTCTTCATTTGATAAAATAATGGGCAACAATATTATGTTGTGGTGCCCACCGATGTTTGTTTTTTTTTCAAGTATTGCAATGTTATTGTGCTCTTCTTTTCAGTATTGTTAAGCTTAAAATAAATATTCCTTGGTAACTCATGCTTCCCATTTAATTTAGGCAAAACTGCGGCTAGTTTTGCCCCTTTGTTATAATTATCAATTTACCCCTAAATTTTTTTTTTCCAATAAATTAATTACTTAAATTATATAAAAATGACTAATTAGGGACCCGCCGTCAATTTTTTGAATGTCCATCTAAATTTTCATCAATTTAAGGGGCAAATTCGAAATTTTAAAGGAAAATAATAAAAACAAAAAGATATAAAACATTTAGGAAAAAAAAAAACCCCCACCTCTATTAGCCGCAAAAACCATTGATGACCACACTCCCCACCCAGCCGCCTCCTTCCCTGCGACCACTGACCAACCACCACCAGCACAACCCTCAACCCGCTCATTTATGGTACCTCCACCCA